ATGGAATAAGCCGAATGATCAATAAAATATTGATATATGAACACGAGTAAAAAAGGTTACCAATCAAAAATAATTATTTGTAACGCGAATCCACAAAAGGAAAGCACGCGACCAGCCTGCAGTACCTGTAGTTGTATAACAATGAGACTAATGCATTTTTTTTTTAATGAAATTTTTTTTTTGTGGCTGTTCACTTCCAAAAAAAAGCTGGTTGTTTCCATAAAAAGATAATTTGATAATAAAAACCAAAAGGACAATACCGGACTTCGGAATTTCGTAATTTTATAATAACAATTAAAAATACATTTACTGATACGTAAGCGCCATATAAATAAAAATACTTCTTTTTTTATTGATTATATATGAAACGTAAATGCAATAAAAAACTTCTGGATTACGTATGTTTTATACAATTTGAAATTTTGACAGGTTGTTTCTTGATAAGGATAAAACGTCATAGAAATGCTTTGATTTATATTAAATTCATATTATTAAATAAACTGTTGATCCGTTACTCCGAAATACTTTAAAAGCATTTTAAAAAGCATTTTTTTTTTTAACACAATCAAAAAAATCATAAAATTTAGAAAAATCAGAAAAACCAAAAGGCTTTTTTTTTTCGTTACCATCATTATTACAATAGTCACAATAATTGTTATTATAATAATTGTATAATTGTTATAATAATAATAATAATGTCACCCAAAGATTTCTTAACACTTGTAGTGCCCATTTTTATCTTGTTCTTTTTCTTATATTTTACTTTTGAGACACTTAACGAACCGTCTCTAAAGACGTCAAAAAAAGGACCACTACATGGAAATTTTCTTCATATTACAGATTTTCATCCAGATCCTCATTATATAGCGAATTCTACAGTTAAATCAAAATGTCATGGAGGACATCCAAAGGGCAAGAAACAACCAAGATTTGCGGGAACTTGGGGTTCATCGGTTACATCATGCGACACTCCTATGAGCTTAGTAAATGCAACATTTAACTGGTTGGAGAAAAATTGGAATAATAAATTGGACTTTATCATATGGACAGGTGATAACTCTAGGTTAGTTTTATTTCTTGAAAATAAATAATATTTATATATATATATATATTAATGATCTTTTTAATATTTAATATAATATATAATAGGCATGATAACGATGATAACATACCAAGAAGTGCGCATGAAATTTATGAATTAAATAGAATGATTGCAACCAAGTTTATTGAAACATTTTCTACTAAAGGAATACGATCAAAAAATAAACCACAATTTATACCTATAGTACCTTCAATAGGAAATCATGATATTCATCCTAATAATATTCTTTTACCTGGACCAAATGAAGTACTTTCAATGCTTCATTCAATTTGGCAACCTTTTATACCAGGAAATCAACGAGAAACTTTTCTTAAAGGAGGATATTATTATACTGAAGTAATTCCTAAAAAACTTATGGTTATATCTTTAAATACAATGTATTTTTATAATGCCAACACAGCAGTAAACGGATGTAAATCACCTGAACAACCGGGTACAATTGAAATGAACTGGTTAAAAGAAGTATTAAAAAAAGCACGAAAACGAGGATTAAGGGTTTATCTTACCGGTCATGTAGCTCCAAGAAAAAAGCAATATACGAAATCTTGTTATAGAGTATACCAAAAATTATCAATAAAATATCATGATCTTATATTAGGACATTATTATGGTCATTCAAATATGGATCATTTCTTTTTTATTGGAGCAAAACGTTCTTTAGGCAAATTTAAACGTAATGATTCGTCTAATGCAAACGATTATTATTATGACGATGATGATGATTATACAGATGATGATTATACAGATTATATTGAAGATTATACAGAAGAATATGATAGTTATGATAAAAAACATTTTGAAATATCAATCAATAAATCACCATCTAAAATTAACAAGTATCTGAACAAACTTTATAATCATTATCGATCAGTTCCTCCACTTACAGAAGGTGTTGGTAAAGAATATGCTGTTGTTCATATCAATCCATCCATAATTCCTGTATTTTATCCTGCATTAAGAATTTTTAAATATAATACGACTGAAGTTGAACATGTTAAATCGGATTACTATGAAGAAGAAGACGATGATGATGATGATTATAATGATGACGACCTTGAAACTTTAAAAAAGAAAAAGAATAAACGACCAAAGAGTCAAGATCCTGAAGCACCTTCCCATAAAAATACATTCCTTACGCCGTTAGGATATACACAATATTTCATTAATCTTACAAATAGTAATTTATTTCCATATCAAGAACCAGAATATACTATTGAGTACACAACTTGGGATGATTATGATATGAAAGACCTGACTGTACCAAGCTGGATTAACTTGGCACGAAAAGTCACAAATCGAAAATTTAAAAATGTGTTGTGGAGAAAAATTCAGGGTAACTTGATGGTTGGTACGAAGTCATTGATAGGAAAGCAAGATATCGAAAATCAAGATATTATATCCGAAGAACCTGATGAACCTGATGATTTACTTGAATTCTGATCAAGTTTTCGAATAATAATTATTGTATTTTGAAGGATATTTTGGAGGAATTTTTGAAGAAATTAAAATTAATATGTTTATATATATGTATCTCTTTCTTTCTTTTTTTTTTGACATTTCATTTTATCAAACGAAAATCACACAATTTTTTGTATCATTATCATCCATACTTGCATTTTTTTTCTTATACTTGATATGTATATTTTGATATACGTACTGTACGTAGGTACGTAGATACGTACGTACGTATGTGTAGTACGTGTATATGATAAAAATATTTTTTTTAAAAAAAAAATAAAATTATAGACACCAAAACTCATGATATAGAAATTTTATTACTATATGCATATAATTATTTTTAATCAAGAAATTTCAAGATTCGAGCATTGCGTATTGTCGTACATAATTAATTTCCGAAATGACCTCTGAATACGTACAAGTCTTATTTAAAGTCTTATCAAAAGTCTTATCAAAAGTCTTATCAAACGTCTTTTCGAAAAGTTTAATTTATCTTTTAAACCTACATCAGGTATATCGGTATATTGGTATACGTATCGGGTATATCATAATATCGTATATCAGGTATATCGTAATATCGTATATCAGGTATGCACTTATCATAAATCTGTAAATTTTTATAGATGTAAACTTATTTAATTAACATTTATTTCTTACATTTATTTCACACTTCACACACGTTATTTAAAATAGAAAACCCAATTCTTTCTTCATGTTAAATCTCGTGGGTACATATACACGTACACACATACGTACGTGTGTGTGTAAGTACGTACTGATACGTACGTATCGTAAATAATGGACAAACGAAAATATTAAGGTCGATCTGTATTAAGTGATTTGCATCCAATTTGGTAAATTACACAACATCATATCAGACATAAACGCATAAACTTCTTTGTTTCCAATTCCTTTCTTTACCATATTTTGGTCAATTGTTTGAAACGTTATCTATCAGTTATCATTATACGTACTGTTATATCTACATACGTACGTACGCATGTATATATTTAAATTTTATCGATAATACTGTATAATACACAAAATTTTTGTTATACAAATTTGGAATTAAATTTCTTCGCTTGGGTAAACACACAAAGAACTTTTAACAATGATACATATACGTCAGTTTCGAACAAATTATAAAAAAAAAAGTCTTTTAATAATCAATCAATGGTAATGAGTGAATGACACTTTTCTTTTGTAAAATATTGTTTTAAAAAAATTATCACCGTACCGTATCGTTTTATTGTTTAGAAACAGTTTAGAAACATTTTAGAAACAGTTTAAAAACAGTTTAAAAACACTTTAAATAAAATCAATGTTTAAAATCTGCTTAAAAAAGAACTTTTTTTCTAAAAATATATTTTATTAATGAAAACAAATACAACAAAAATGTAATAAATGTTTTTATTTCAAAACTCAACTTAAACAACCGTACTTTGATGCATACTAAAATTATTTTATTTAAACACTATTTTTGGAACAAATCAAAGAATTCAATAAATGTATATACGTATATATATATCGTAGCGAACAATAACACAAACAATAAGTACGTTAAGATCTTCTTTTATACGTAACGTCTATTTACTTCTATACTTGAAAGTTTTGAATATTAAAAAAAAATTTCATGCATATATGTCAACATTTATAAAGTATTTTGAGATAATTGTAATTGTATGCGATTAATACAATACAATGAACAACGGTTTTTGTTACTTTTCATCAATAACCTTTAGTTTGATTAGTTTGATCGATGTTTGAATCTACGTAGTACTTACGTATCGAGCATGTTCAACTTAAACTGTACTCTGAAACTATTAGTACCTTAATACGTAATTTTGGCCATATAAGTAAAATGATGAATAAAAAAATTATACTTATACAGATACAGTATATCTGTATATGATATTGATATTCATCATATATCAATATTTAATGTATATTATTACGTATTGTATTTATTTCATGTGATGATTGAATTTTACTATTTATGTAATACAACTAATGATTCGAGCAATTATATACTGTATGACCTAAAACAAAGAAGCCTGAATCTTTTGAATATTCTTCGTGATCTATAAATAATTTAACGAATAAATATTGATAGGCTCGTATTTGATGAATAATATAAATTAGTGAAACAAATCGATGTGTAAGAAATTACTCCTCCTAAGGAATTAATGATAAAAAAAAGTTGTCTCATGGTTTTTTATGGTTTTTAATTAACGAAAGAAAAAAAAAAACCCCCAATTATTACTGTAAAAAAAAAAAAACCTATATATATATATACTTATCTTTAAAAAAAGATTGAATTTTAAAACTAAATTTCAAAAAAATTTTATCATTATAAACGTTATTCAAGAAAAATTTTTCTGATCTAAGACTTTATAATAACTTCATAATAACTTTATTAAAAATGGGTAATTGCACTTCTTCAAACAAAAAATCAAAAGATATGGGTATTAGTTCACAATCACTAAACCCAAAAAGAAAATTGAATTTCTTTCATGATAACGATCATAAAAACACAAAAACAACTAAAACTTTTAAACGACCAAAGAAAATTCATAAAGCTATTATCAGCCTTCCATCAAACTTTCAGGTAAGCTATCATAAATATAATAAATATAATAAATATAATCAATGTAATAAATGTAATAAATATAATAAATGCGTATTTTTTTTGATCGCAATCTTTTATTTTAAATAGCATACTGGACACATCGGAATTGCCGAAATGCGTAGTGGAAAAGTTGATGTAAATTCTTTTTCTTTATAAATTAATTAATTAATTAATTATACCCGTATTAGTTTCACTAAATTTAATTACTTTTTATCCTTTATAGCCTGAAAGAGTTAAAACTCAAATGGCAGAAGTTGCTGCTGCTTTACGTTTAGAATCTATTGATACATCAATTCAAATACCAAAATCCATACAAATTCAAAATTCATCAACTTTTACTTCAAATTCATCAAATTCTCAATTTAATGTAAAGGTATGTAAAAAAATTTTAAAGATCATTGATGTCACTTTACCTTATTAATTTATTATATATGTAATAACTTATACTCTATATATATTTAAACAAAAAGAGGAAACAAACGTCATCAACAATACCAATGTTATATGAACAAGTTACCATCACATCATCAATTTCATCACAAAATAAACCGGTAGTGAATCCAATGGATGAAGTAATGGCTGCTTTGAAAATGCCTGCTGATGGAAATTTAAATGATTTTATTATAAATAATTCCAATGATTTAAAGGTCGCTTGATCTATTGTATATATCTTATATGCGTGCAGTACGTTTGAATTTGTTGAACATTTAACATTAACGTTAAACGTTAACATTAACGTTAATCATTATTAGCATTAACGTTAATGTCAATGCATTATAATTAAGGTTATTTGTTCATAAGATTCTATATAAATCAATTACACCTATATTTACGTACGCACTATTTTTTTGAAACTATAAACATTCTTTTAAAGTATTTTTAATATATATTCTGTATATATACAATTTCATTCATAATTCATAAAAATGGAAATCACTTGATTTCAAATATTTCTAAGTAAACGTTTGATACGTTATATTAATATTCTTTTGTAATCTTTTTGTTTTTCTCTCTCTCTCTTTCTTTACATGTTTATAACTTCATCAAAAAGTCCATCAGCATTGTTATATAACTTAATTAAAGATCATTGATCTTTTTATATAATAAATAAATTTACATAAGCTTATTTTTTGTACTCTTTAAAATTATATAATGCTTTTATATATTATTTTCATCAAATTTGGAAAACAAATCACGTATGTACGTACATGACACGAAATCATTGATATACTGTACCATTATCCGGAGTGTATTGTTATGATCCAAAAGTTACATTTTTGATGCATCAAGCTATATCAATATCGAACATATAAGATCTCCTATAAATCAATGTATTAATGATCTATACTAGAGTATACGTACACTAATTTGTATTACGTTTTGATCAATAAACATTCAAATTATTATATTATTATATTATTATCATTATTGTTACAGTCGGTGGAACTGTTCACAATGAACCATACGACACACAGCAAATCGCGATAAAAACCGCATGAATGAATTCCAAGTACCTTATGAATCAGGACTACCGAATAATTGATTATGATGCCATTTATTTGTCTTCAATAATTTATTGGTGGCGTGGCAATTTTTGTCGCTGTTTGTAAATATAATAACTTACTGATCTTTGACGTCAAAATTAAAAAAAAATAAACTTTATCTGTAACAATTTATCTGATTGTAATTGTGTAATAATTTGATTGCAATTGAATTTTCGGTACCCCTGGTATTAATCCGTATCAATAATTAAAATTTTGATAGCTATCACTATTACCAGTAATTGAAAAAGACCGGTCAGAACCGCTATTTAAACCGGGACCAATGGGTTTTCGATCCCCGAACCTATACTGGTTTGGACTGGTCCGGACCAATTAATTAATGACAGAAATTGAAAAGTACAAACGACGGGAATGATCCAATTATTAGCGAATAATTTATAATCAACGAAAGATCATCACATTATAAGAAAAGTGGTCAGTGGTTTGGTACGGGATGGCACTGAATGGCTCGTTTCCTGGGATACACATAGGCATTTTGTACAGAATTCTATGGTACATTCTGGCCTGTCAGAGTGAAACATATTGGCTCATTTCATGGAATGACACATGTTTAAAGTGATACGTGTTGGCCTGTTTCTCAGAGTGGCACATATTTGAAATGATATATTTTGGCCCATGAAATCAAAACATGGACCATTTTAGAGTTTGGAACCGGTTTTATTTTTAAACCCGGTTTAATCGGATTTAACATAAGAAAAATAAAACCAGTTCCAAACTCTAGAATGGTACATGTTTTGATTTCATGGACCAATAAAAACGAAAAATCATGTGTAATGTAACAATTAAAAAAAAAACAGGTTTGTTTCTAAAAATTAGAGTTTGGACCTGTTTAAAAGAAAATCTAATCCGTCAATTAATTGCTGGTGTATTTACCTGAATTAAGTATAATCTGTAAATCATACGATTTGATTGGTTGATTAATATCACATGACGCAAGTACATAATAAATAGTGCTCACCCGGACAAAATATAGAAAAGTTTTGTTACCTTTTTTTACTCGAGTAACAAGATATTTATTCGGTTACACAACCTATCTACAGGTAACCCGAGTAACCCAAATACGGGTCTAAAAATTGCGTGTATCTCATAATTTTATTTATAAAGTGTTTTTAGTGCTTTAATCAAACAAATTTCTTACTAATTTACTATATATGTCATTACTCTCATTGCCTTTACCATATATATATATGCTCAAACTACTATGGTGCTGGAAGCTTATACTTAGTGACATGCCGCGTATAGTACAGTACGCAAAAAAATTTTTTAGAATATTATAGAACAAATTATAAAACCATTCATATCTCAAAAGTTTCCTTATGAAACCGCTTTTTGTATTCTAAGTAAAATTATTCCTTGCGAAATTTTGCAAATAGATAGTTTATATATCATATGTAGGGCTGTTAATCGACTCCAATTAGTCGACTCTGAGTCGACTTTTATTCGAGCATTTTTTTTTCAAGTTGACTTCAGCAATCACATGATATTAAAACATTGTGATTTGCTGACAAATCAAATTAATGCTTTTTTGGTTCGCAATAGAAAATTTTTGAACTTAGTTTTTATTTTACTGAAACTCAATTAAATCGAAGTAATTCTTTTTGATGAAAAGAACAATTCGATAGAACAAACCTTTAAACAATTAATATATCACTTCTTTATAGTTATTGAATAAAAAAACAAGTGTTATGTAGTTTTATTTCTTTGTTGCTACTGTATTTAGTTTTAGCGTTATTGTCATATGATTTTTGTATAACTTGAAGTCGAATTAAGTTGACTTCTGAAGTTACTCTGAGCCGACTCGAGTTTTAACAGCCCTAATCATACGTGTACTATACATATTGCACATGCTATACACACTATACGCACAATACATACTGTACGTACTGTACGCTAAAAAAATCTGGATATCATATAAATGGCACATCACTACCTATACTCAACGGTTACGTAAAGTGTTTCAAATTTTTAAATGATTATGACTTTTTATCTAAGAGGTTTTAAAAAAATTTATTTGATAACTTTATAGAGTTGATATAGCTCTATAAAGTTACCAAGTGGATTTTTCAAAACTTCTTAGATAAAAAGTTATAATCATTTAAAAATTTGAAACACTTCAAGTAACTATTAAGTATAGGCTTTTAGCATCATATTAAATTAATTAAATTGATTTCTAATAAATAATCAAAAAATGATTTGTAAATTTATATTTTATATTTTATATTAAATCTCATGCTAACTCAACTAGTAAACTATTATAAAACCTAAGTCATTTATGATTTTGAAGTAGAACTATTCATTTTATACAAATAATTTAATTTATAAAATTTTTTTAAAAAAATTTAAAAAATTTAATTTTATAGTAAAAAAGAAAAGATACATTAAGTAAATTTGAAATTTTTATTTTATTTTATCTCTTAAACTGTATTTCAAACAAGTTTAATTAAAAAATTAAAGAAAAAAATTAAAGTTACTTATAATAATATAAGTTTTGTTAAAATTTAGAGTTAAGGTATAGTTTAAAATTAAAACAAAAATTAAACATAATAGTCTTAATTTTAAGTTATACAAAGTTTTTAAAGTTTCTAAACATTTTTATTTAGTATATCTAAATTTTGTTTTTTAGTCTTATTTTTAAGATATAGCAATATAGATTATAATTACCTATAATACAAATTAAAAAATATTTTAAAAATTAAATTATATTTAGTATTTTTGAAATAAAATAATAATTTTTTTTAGTGTTAAGATAAGGTCTTGCTTATATTTTTATTAGTAATTTTAGTTATATATATTAATATATTATATATTAAAATATACTAAGAATATAAAATACAAAATAAAAACTACATGCAAGAATTAAAACTCAGACAACTTTATCTATAACCTAAATCAACTAAGGTGATTAAAGCTTACCTAAATTTGTAATATTAGAATGTAATTATAAGATGTTCTATAATTAATCTAAAATGTTAATTATATATTAATTTTTATAATAGTTTGTCTAATAAGTAAACAGATATTAGAATATAAATGTAATCGATTTGTTATTCTACATAGATATAAGTATATATAGTTTGTATATAATATCTAGTTTATTGTATTTATTGAGAAATATTGTAACTATTGAAAGTTTAAAGAAATATAATATTGTTATTTTTTTTAATTAAAAAAATCAATACAGTAAAGTTTCTATATTTATTATTATTTTTTTTAGTTAAAAAAATCAATACAGTAAAGTTTCTATATTTAGTTATAAATTTGATTATTAATATTAAAAAATATTTAAATAATAGTTTAAAAATCTATTTTAGTTAATATATTATAGTTATAAATTGTTTCACTTAAAACTTTAAATATAAAACTTTTAAAAATATAATTAAGATAAAAAGAGTTTGTTTAAAAAATAGTATTTGGTTAAATAAAGAATGGTTTTGAATCTTGTAAATAAGTTTATATAGCTAATCAGAAGATAAGTTAAGATCTGCTTTAGATAAAATATGCCAAATCTATAAATTAATAATATTTATAATAAGAAAATAATTAAAATAAATTAGTCAATATGAATAAGAATTAAAAAAATTATATCAAAAGCAGTTGGTATTACTAAAAGTAGTTGGATAAATATTATAAAAGAAAAAGATGTTAGTACTTTATTTAGTAGAGTTTTAATTTTAAAAACTTTAAATTGGTTAAGTTTAAAACTAGTAAAATTAGATAAAAGTTTTTAATTATAATTAAAATAAAACTATATAGATTGTTAGTCTATTTATAGTAATTAATGTGAGTCTATTTATTGTTTCTTTTTTGTAAAAATTATATTGCCAATAAGTTTTGCAAATATTTTTAACAAAATATTTAATAAAAAGCTTAATAAGATTTTGATTTCATTATAAAATATAAAAAAAGATTATAAATATTTGTATATTATAAGTTTAAAACTAAAAAAAAGTGTATTGTTTTGCTAAAAAGTTAGTTATATTATTAAAAATATTATCTGCATAAGTCTGAACTTTGTGAATATTGATATTTAAATTAAAAAATTTAATAATATTAAGAAATATATGCTATAAAAATTATGTATTAAATTTTAAAAA